AAAAATATAGGGTCAATTAATAATTTATTTGTCTAGTAGGGGTCTACATTTTTTCAAAAATTGCGTGCCGATTAGCACGCAAATCTTGTACGTTTAAGGGATAATATTCTGCCTTGACGTATTACCAAAAGATTGCTATATTTTTCGATCCTAGAACTCTTTCTCGCATAGTTAGTGCCTTCGAGTATTCCTTGCTCTATGTTAAAAAATTTGATTCCTTTTGTATACATTTTGATAACCTTGACGTATTACTTTTTTGATAACCTTGACGTATTACTTTTTTGATAACCTTGACGTATTACTTTTTTGATAACCTTGACGTATTATTCTTTTGATAACCTTGACGTATTACTTTTTTGATAACCTTGACGTATTACTTTTTTGATACTCACTTTTTTTACTTGACTTGGTGACCCAAAATTTTTCGGCATAAGTTATCTCTACTTGAAGCATACTACTACATACGCATTATATCCAAAACTATATTGAGATAAAATCGTGCAACACGAAATGAGTTATTGGATAAACTCTTGTGTGTGTATATATATGTATTTTTATACATTAAATTTTTTGTTCGCTGTGATCAACGTTACACGTTCCATATAAATCTTGATTTTCCTTAAACTTTTCTAAATTTGGTAAAAACATAAATTTTATTTTGTCACATTTCATAACCAATAAAATCAAACTTCCACCATGCTCAGTTAGATTTCGTCTGAAAGTAATAAATTCTCGAGTTATGTGATCACTTTTGCCAAGAAAAAAATGATGTAAAAATGATGTCTCGATATGTCTAGTAATAAAATCGATCGAGTAACACAGATGTTTAATCAACATATATCGCAGAATAAATTAGAAGCTCATGGAACTTTTCATGCATGATGTAATCGTGTGACCTGCTAATTGTTATTATAAATTCTAAATCTGATTGACTAACTCGTGGCATGACAAACCAAAAAAGAAATTCCTTCTTTTATATTTTTTTTACTATTTTTTAACATAAATAAACTAATCAGACCAGCATAATGGACACTCATTTTGTGCAACAGTCATTTGTATAATAGTCAGGCGGTTACACAGAGCCAGTTGCTTCTGAAACTTCACTAGAATATAGCTGTAGCATCTCTAAGTCCAGATCATCAGCAAGATCAAAATTATCTCACACTTTTATAATCAAACTTTTGCAAGAACTTTCACCATAACATATGTTATGTTGATCATTTTTTTGTGATCTGTAACAGTGTCCACTATGCTAATCAGACCTCACTTAACAAAAAAAAAAATTTTTTTTACTATTTTTTATTATCATGTCTGAACTTATTACAACATATTTGAACCAAAGCGGAAAAAAATCTTTCTACTACTTTTTGCATCATTATCGGGATGAAATTATTGTCATGATTCCGGTTACTTCCCGTTGGAAGGATCTCGATAACGCCTGGTCAAATAAGTTCATAACAGGTGCGGGAAAACTTGGTGAAGATTTAAGTAGAAAGGTGTGTATTTTTTTATTTTGCAAGGTTAAGGTAACTTCTAGTCGAAGTACGCATTGCCTAGGAGAACTACTGGGTATGACACGTTGGGTAACCAGCCCCCAATTTCTCTACTCAGGCGCCCTAGCTTTGTCGTTGGTAAAGGTCTACTGATTCTGGAGGAGGAATCGGTTATGTACCTTCCTTTATCACTAAATAAAAAATTACACACTGTTAACAAATTCTTTTCTCACTGTAGGTTAATCAAGAACGGGTACGCTATGCGAAAAATTTTGAGGAATATTGGACTGATGCAATTAACGAATGTAAAATAGTAAGTAAAACCACTTATTTTGCATTTATATATCGGCTTTAATACTATTCATGATTATTCTTCTGAAATTAGAAAGAAGATATTTTGGTCTACGAAGCAGAAGAAGCTCGCATTCAGGATGAACTATCGCGTCTTCGGCACAAACTATCTGAAATACAAGAAAAAGTAAAAATGCAAAATTCAAGTAACCGGGAAATGGATGAAGATTCGGTTAATGAAGATCCTGTACATGATGGTCTAATGTTTGACGATGATGTCGATAATATTAACAATGGCAATAACAATAATAACGACAATGCCAACAATGATAATGATGTTGGTAATGATAATGGTGATGATGAGAACAACAATAATGATAACAATAATAACAATGATAATAATAGCAATAATAATAACAATAATAGCATTGTTGGTGGTTCTATGAAACGAAAAAAAAGAAAACAGGTTAATGATAATGATAATAGTAGTAATAGTAATAATGCCGATAATGATAACAATAACGATAACGATAATAACAACAACAACAATAACAATAACAATAACAATAATGGTGATGGTAATAATGATGAAAATAATAATAACAATAATGATAATAATGGCAATAGCGGTAATATAATCAATGTCGGCGAAGATAATAATAGTAACAATAATAACAATGATAATAATAATACAACAATATCATCATCATCAGCAACAACAACAATAACAACAACAACACCACCACCAACATATAATCTTCGCAGTAAAAGAAAAAAAGAATACGGTTATGAACGTGTAACTAAAAAACATCGGAAAAATAAATCATCATCAACACAACAATCATCACGACAAACATCACGACAAACATCATATGATAATTTCGAAAATAATAGTTACAACAATGGCAGTGGTGATGACGATAACAATGATAGCAATAACAACAATAACAATTCATGTATAGGATGCCCTGTACATTGTCCGGATTAATCCGTTTTTTATATTTTTTTATAATGTATTTTGCGTATAATATTCTTTTCGATTTTTATAATCGCTGGCCTTGGTGGATATATAATCGTGTTTATATATTTCCATCGATATTAATAATTTTTTCTTGGCGAAAGTGATCGGTGTGAACAAATCATTCACGCACACATGATTTTTTCGTGTATTTTATATGTGTAATCCGATCGTGAAGATTTTCTTCACGGTTTTCTATCACGTGATTTTATTAATTCAAACTTTTGCTTTGAACATATCCGCATCTTATATAAACAATGGCAAACACACAATCTAAAAATGATTCATTAGAACAGATTTCCAAGCTTATAGCTGAGAATACTGAAATTAAAAAGAAGTATGCTGAGGTTGAGGCTGAGAATGCGAAGCTAAAAGAGATAATAAAACAAAGCACAAGGCGTGGAGCTGAGTATGAAGCTAGAATTAGGAAACTAGAGCAAAGCGATAAAGAGAAGGCTGGTCTTAAATCAAAATTTGAGGCACTAGAAAGGAAAAATAAAATGGATACCGCTAACCTTACAGTTGAGAATATCAAACTTAAACCAGGGTTGCGAAATTGGAACAGAAGCAATCGCAAACCGATGATGATGCCAAGGGAATCAATCAATCTTCAGTCTGTGAAGCAGGATACCCAGTATCTAATACCATCTGTTGTTGTAATGATTCACATAAACGTTTTTTTGCTTCACTAGATAAACTCATTTTATTGATTTGTATATATGCGTTGTTTGTATATGCGTATTGTTTTATCTGACAAAAACTATATGTTTTTGAAATTATAATAATTGATAGATAAATCTTTAAAATAAAATTAATTATTCCGAATTACGATGATATTATACCATTGCTCATATATTCATAGAACTGGAAAAATCTGTGGTCGAGGTAGTAAATCAGAAAGATGTTATATTCATCGTAATTCTCCAATACCTACTTGTAGAGATTGTGGTGAGCCAAATAGGTCTAAATATAATGCATGCAATAAACACGTTGGAAAATATAAAAGTAGAGAGAATTACCATCAAAAAAAGCAGGCTGAATTACATGCAATGATTGATGTACTTAAGAATCGCATACCGGACTTGCCAGATTTTGGGTACGAACTATAGTCTAGGTTTATTACTTTTTCATCCATGGATAAGGCAGTCATATCTCCTGAGATCAAAGGATCGGGTAATTAATTTCAATTTGAAAGAATAAGTAGGTCAATAGATAATCACGATCTACTTGTCAAATATATTATCAATATAATCATGGCAACTGCCTCAAAAACCCGAAAGCCCAGAACTAATAACTTTACCTCGATTTTGGACCTGTTCCTAGAAAAATATAACTTGTCCGCCGAATCAAACCCACTTCAATTACGTGCTCATGCCGATGAGCTTGGTACTATGCTACCAGATTGGAAGGCTCGTAAAGATGTGAAAGAAGCTCTTCGCCGGCGCCTATTCAAAGGCAATCAAATAGAAGCTCTTGTACCAGACAAAAGGAATGAAAAACTTACTATCAAAGGGAGAGCTCAATACTGTGCGAAAACTGGAGATCCATATGATATTTGGTTACATGCTTTAGATTTAATCAAGACAAAAAATGATAGTGATGAAGAAATTGTCGCATCCAGTTCACGACTTACATTATTCCGTAAGGAATTGGCAGAAGCTGGAGCCGATCCCAAAAATATTCTATTAGCTAAAAACCCAACTACTACTGAAGAATCTAACGAAATTCAGAAAAGACAACTTGTACAGAGATTAGCTAATCCGCCTAAAACTCCTAAGCACTTCTCCTTAGATGAGGGACTTAGAAGAATTCAAAATATCGACACTACTAAAATTCCCACTATGCAAGATCTTGCGGATGTAATCATGATGTTAAGCATGAGACCTGCTGAAGTTACCACTCTTCGCATTATCCATTACGAAGAATCAGACTATCTAAAATGGTACAAACCTGGCTATTCTTGGTATTGTACAGGATTTATTAAGAATAAGGGAGAAAAGGAGGTTAATCCTGAGCCCCGACAATTTCTATCTATGGAAAAGAATCCAGAACGTGCAAGAGAATTGCTTACCTGGATTCAAAATGCAATAGCAATTGGAAAGTTACGTGATCCTGTCTATAGTGTTAATGGAAAACGTAGTATTAGACCATTTAATAATTTTCTAAGACCTTATGGTATTACAGCTAAAAGATTGAGAAAAATAGGGAGTAAACATGCTTCTAGAGTTCATGGTGGTCAAAATCCAACGGCCCAACATCTTAGTTTACTTTGTAGAATTGCAATGAGGCATAAGATCGACCGTTTTGATTCTGGGACTTATTATGCTGAGGGTGACACTTCTTCTGATTCCGATACCAATCCTGATACTGAACCCGAACCTAAATCTCAGCCTAAGAATTATAATCCTTTTGATGTCCAAATCGCAGAAATAGATTCTATGTTAGCAGAAAATGCGAAGTTAGACTATTAGTATCGGTTCCAGTGGAATTCCCAAATAAAACTCTTACGTTGCTCGATGGAACTAGTTATGAGGTTAAGTGCAATTGAGAATATCTGGATAATGCATAATATATCCGCCTAAAATTAATTATCCGAACATTAGTTGTTTTTTTCGATTAAAGATATATAATATACAATTTGAGAATGGCGGAGCAATGACCCAAAGGGTCTAAATATTTTTGATTTACCCGAATTACTTGAAATTATTTTCTCATATCTAGCAAAAGATAAATCGCTTTACCCAACTCTCTTAGTTAATAGGCTTTGGTACCACTGTTCCGCTCCTATTCTATGGCGACGCGTTGAGTTTTTTACAGAAAAAGATTATCAGAGAGGTCGGCGTGGTCGTAAGATGCCTCGAGTTCTTACTCAGCAATTGATAAATTTTAAAAAAGTCATGTGTGGAAAGATAAAGCCAACCTATTGCGCCAAGATGATATATCTCAGATTGGAAGGTTTAAAAATCAAAGATGCGTTGATTAGTACGATTCTACGCTCGTGCCCAGATATACGCACTCTTATTCTTGATCGAAGTGATGGTTTCTCTAACATACCAATTATAGAAATTGCGAGATATTGTCCAAAGCTATTACATCTAAGTCTTAATTCGTGCATATGTCTCACTGATCGATGTATTACTGAAATAACACGTTCTTGCCCGAAACTTAAACATCTTGAGCTTGGTGATTGCTCGATTAATAATAAAGCTGTCGAGGAAATAGCCCGCAACTGTACTAATTTGAAATATCTTAGTTTGGAAGGATGTAATGGGATTAGCGAAGAAGTGATGAAAAAGCTTAATTCTAAAATTAAAATCGAACATCCAGATTATTCCGATGATGAATTTTCAGATTCAGATCTACCTCCACTTGTTCCAGTCTTTGCAGGTCCAATAGATAGAACAGATTTAATTTCTGCAATCAATGATTTAATCAGAGAATTGGTTCTATGGTCGAAAATATAATGATGGTGAACTCCAAACATACATACCCGAAATTGTGACCGACACAGAGGACGCCTGGGTGAGAACTACCCTACGTATCAAGGATCTTAAAACCAAGAAAGGGGGAGGGTTATAGTATCTGTTAATAAAATAATTAATGATGTACATAACTTTACTTCTGACTCCGATACTTCTTCCGATAACGATTCAGGTAATTCTTCCACATCTAGTTAGGAAATAGAAGTTACACATATGCAAAAGAAACGCCCCATTCTAAAGCGTAAAGTAAAGAGTAAAGTTAATTATCGAGCTTTGTAGTGGAGCTAGTATCCTGACATATGTAGAAAACTTCTATGCCTGGCTGAAAATTTGTACGAATTGAGTATGGATTTCTTCCCATTCTTTCATCAGATCATCTAGCCATGCAGTACTTAAACCACTCTTTAGTATACTGTGACGTAATAACTCTTCACCAACCAGCCTATCCCGATCTGTTAAAAATTTATGATATTTTCTAGTATCTTCCTGCCTTTCTATTCCACCACGGTAAAAGCGTATATCTCTCTCCAAGTCTTCACGGAAGCATCCCATAGCCCACCTATTTTTCTCAGCCTCAGTAACGACTGAAAATTTCTCAGGATCCATTCCAAATTAATGATGTACATAACTTTACTTCTGACTCCGATACTTCTTCCGATAACGATTCAGGTAATTCTTCCACATCTAGTTAGGAAATAGAAGTTACACATATGCAAAAGAAACGCCCCATTCTAAAGCGTAAAGTAAAGAGTAAAGTTAATTATCGAGCTTTGTAGTGGAGCTAGTATCCTGACATATGTAGAAAACTTCTATGCCTGGCTGAAAATTTGTACGAATTGAGTATGGATTTCTTCCCATTCTTTCATCAGATCGTCTAGCCATGCAGTACTTAAACCACTCTTTAGTATACTGTGACGTAATAACTCTTCACCAACCAGCCTATCCCGATCTGTTAAAAATTTATGATATTTTCTAGTATCTTCCTGCCTTTCTATTCCACCACGGTAAAAGCGTATATCTCTCTCCAAGTCTTCACGGAAGCATCCCATAGCCCACCTATTTTTCTCAGCCTCAGTAACGACTGAAAATTTCTCAGGATCCATTCCATGTTCGATGGCATATTGATAAAGGCGGGTTTTGTTTGGATGAATTGGTGAGTTACTGATTTTGTTTGGTACCCTTATTTGAATTTCTGGTAAGCTCTGTACAGCAATAATAACTTTCTTTTGATCGATACGAAAAGGACAATTAAGAAAATAGTGATCATTTTTACCGAGACAGCTCCAATCGCCCCATATACCTCGACGTGTATGTACCTCTTTACATACAGGACATTTAGCTTCTGAATCGGTATATTTAAATACATCCCGGTGCCATGCATTTGAATTAGTATAGGACAAGAAAGGAAAACGTTTATGTACTGCTTCATGGATTGTGCTTTTTTCTTCTGGAAACTTAGAAATTTTGATAACACAATCCTGTGAAAGGTAATTATCAGTCTTTTCGATTTGTGGAGGTTCGGGAGTTTCAGACATTATCCAGGGATCAAGCCCAGTCTCTTCCGTATATGCTCTATATAAGATCAAACGAATTTTATCAGTCAAAGAACTTGGTACTTCAACCAATTTAGCATACCAGTCCAAATATTCAGGGGTTAAGGCACGAAGTGTCATTTCTCCAAAATAGGTTTTATCCATATTATTGTTTTATATGACGCAAATTCAAATTAATTTAAAGTGTCTTTGTCTCACTTAAACACTGTGCATATCCTGAAATAGCAATTAAAAAATAAATATCGTTAATTAATGATTACCGAAGGCAGTCACATAGTGGCTATACCCCTTTTCCTCTCCAATTCGGAAAAAGATCTTGATTAGTAAAAGTATATGTTATCTGACCATGAAGTGCTTGCCTCTGGTAATTTTTTCTGGCTTCGAGCAGTTACTGCGAGAAGGCGGGATTTATGCTTATTCTTCGTGGAAGTTATATCAAATTTTCTTTTTACTTTTAAACATGTGAGGCATAATTATTTATGAGTTTTATTTTTTATTTTTTTTAAATGATTTAAATTATTTCGTGAGTATCAAATATTTTCTTTGCATCTAGTAGTTCATTTGCTTAACCTTTTTATACAACCTTTCTTCACTAACCAAATCGTCTGTTATTTCGATTTCACGCTTTCCACATATAATAAAATAGGATCCAGCTTCGTATTTACCTTTTACACTTTTCCCATCTTCATGATCTAGTTTACATACTGGGCATAATAAACCCTCAATAATCCCATAACGATCAAATTTTTCAGAAATAAATACTTTATATAGATCAGAATATCACAACAATGTCTTATTACGAAAGTAAGCATGGTCATGAATCTTATTTTCTGGCAATATATTATTAGGTGAAATACTTACCTCAGTCATATGAGTGCGTGACTTTTGGTCACGCGGTATAGCAATGAAATGCTTCTTAATTGTATCGATTTGCACGTCAGTTAACTTCGAGAGTTTATTTGCACTATAAGTTTTAATTCGCTTAATTTTATCTTCTCCAATTATGCTAAATAATTTGTATATAGGTTTAGTTCTTTGAGTTCTTTTACGCAAACTTACACAAGAAATACCTGAAAGATACTGTAGCATTTCATCATAAATCTGCCCACTTGCTAAATCATAGGCTCTCTTATCATTTCTTTGGTTTTCGGGTAAAATATCATCAAGTCTTTTTTCAAAATGCTTTCTATATTGGTACCAGCTTGTAATTTCTTCCACCTTGGCTCGTTTAGTATTATTCTCTGCCAAGCTTATTTTTTCAAATAGATGGACCAATTCGATTGCAAGTGATTGCTTATCCATAGAATTTTTATCAACATTAACAACTTTAACGGTATCTTCCACTAAAGGTTCTATTCTTAATTCTTCTATCAAAGGCTGTACGTCTATTTCAGGGATTTTTGTTTTCTGTAAGTCTGTATTTTGTTCTGAGGATTCTTCAGGTAAATTAGGAGTGTTAGGAATAGATTGCGATTCCGAAATTTGTTTGACGTGTAATTCATCATGAGATTTTGGCGAGCTATCCGAATATGAGTTTTGGGCTTGAGAAGCGGAAGTTTCATTATTCTGTAATAGCTTCTTTTCCCGATTCCTTTCTCTTATTTCGTTACAAATCTGTTCATTATGTTTTTCATTCAGAAAATTATCAATCCTTTTACCTTCAGATGATTTAGACTTTACATATATAGGTGGTATAGTCAAAGATGAATCAGAGACTTGAGACTGATATTCGTCAGAATTTGAAACATTATTGGATACATCAGATGCCGGAGCATCCTTATTTTGAAAGACCGCCTGTTCAGAGGTGTCATCAGTTATATCAGATACCGGGGTATCACCACATTGTAGCACTATCTGTTTGAGAGTATCGTTAGATTTTATTGGAGAGTGCGAAACATCTTCCGTAGGCTCGAATAGCCATGATTCGGAGGATCGCCTAACGGCTTGCTCTGCGATAGAAATACTTTTTTCTTCTTTTCCCTGTTCTAATATAGCGAGCCTAGTCTCAAGCTCTATATTCTTTTGCTCTAATTCCTCGACTCTAACATCACGCTTTTCATTCTCCTCGATAATCTGCTTCAGCCTCGCATTCTCCTTTCTAAGCTCGGCAATCTCAGCTATAAGTTTGGAATTCTGTTCTTCTAATGTATCGACTTTGGATTGTGTGTTTGCCATTTTTTATACAAAATGCAGATATGTTCAAAAGTTTGAATAAATAGAAATAATGAGTGCGTGACCAAAAAGTTAAAAAAGTCACGCCGTTTGCTTTTGCCAAGAAAAAAAAATGAATGCGTCCCAACATATGAGACTTCACAAATGCATTTTAATCCGATGTCGTGTATTATTATGTAATTAATGGATCTTCTCTGTTTTACGAATAAATAAGAGGCATCTATTGTTGTTGTATAAAAACGATTAAGCTTATTTTTTTTTGACATCGAATGAGGCCTGTGCGTAGTATAAGATATACCAAAATTTTTGATTTACCTATCAGCATGAATCCACAAATAGTTGGGATCGGCAAAGGTAACGGATCGCCCATAGTAGATAAATTTTTAATGAGGTGACCGCGTAATTCGAAAAAACCAATGATTATTGATAACTTTAATGGTGTGTACCTATAGCGAATCGACAATCAACGCCAGAGAGATTCTGAAATACGTATAAAAACCGCTTGAACTTGAATTCGCATAATTTTTCTACTTCATAACCACAACATTCGAATAAATATACACAAAGTTACTGCAAAGCAATAAAAATCTGTTAATCATTCAAAAAATAAATAAATTAATAAAGCATCATAAATTAATCAAAACTACATCAAAATTTTCTTTTAAAAAACTAGTCATATATTTGTTAAATCAAAGGTTTATTATACCAAAGTAAGTGGTCTCTGACTTATATTGATAAATCGATTGTTTTTTTTTATTGAGTATCCTTTTTAATGAGTTTATGCGCTCACATTAATACCTACAGATGGATACAAATATCTTAGAATATTTCAAACAAACGCCATCAGAAAATTATTTCATTTTTATACCAATCTTGATTGAAAATTCCCAGTTTACCTAATCATTGTAATTGCATGCTTTGCTCTGTATAATTTAAAACGGGAAACCGATATCACTCTTACTTCACTAAAAGATGCGCAGAAACTTCTATCCGAAGACGTTAATCGAAAATTTGATGACCTTACTGAAAAAATTCAATTGCTATACGAAGAGATGCAACAAAAACAAATTTCGGGAGATGCTTCAAGTGAATTGACAAATAGTTCTCAAGGTAAGCGTTTTATTTTTTTTTAAGCCTTTCATGTCAATGATCCAGGGCTAACCGTTTTGTATTTATCTGTTCCAGCTTCGAATCGATCATCATCTTCAAATTCTGAAATTGTGCAAAATTTTAAGAACCTTTTCAATGAAACTATGGAAGAAAACGATCATACTAAATCAGATATGATTAATGAAGTTATAAGTGATCTAAAAAAACAAACAAAAATAAAAGTTATCGGATTCAAGGCTATTGAAAGTTTTTGTAATGAAACAACGAAACCCGATGTCAGAACCATAGGCGCGATAAAGGCTTGGATTGCGTTTAAAACTAAAGAAAAAAATAAAATCATGAATAGTGATGGTAACGACTACAATTCTAACGAAAGAATAGATTATAACAATAATAATAAATAGTTTTTTACCCGGTAGAGCCAAAGTATAGGGGCGTACATTAAATGGTCTAGGGGCCGTACGTTCTCTCCCTTGCAACTCTGCCGTAAGAAATCAATATTATTATTATTATCCATGTATCTTTATTTTATTTCGCTTGATTAAAATCATTAAATAAAATGAATCGAATTCTTATTTTTTGTCTTCTAAAAAATCAAGTTGTACGACATACATAAATATTTGCAATCCGAAATGTAGTGCGACTATATAAATTATACATGTTTATTTACACGATTAACCAAATTCGATTAATTACCTCATGTACATACTTTTTCTTTGGCTAATTGATTATTCTTTTTTAGGCTTCAGACACGTGCGACTATATTCGTTCTTCATTAAAGATCAATCTTTTAGTATGATATATTCTCTTATATTTTTTGCTTCAAAGAGATCTGAATTCAATATAAATTTATAAATATAGAATGTAGAGAAACCATGGCTTGTAAATGTAACGAAAAATGAAATGCATACGGTTTGTACTTAGGAATAACGATTGTTTCTTTCATAATTACTCTTAATGATACACTAATATGCGTGAATTAGTTTGTATTAAAGACATTCAGGAGATGAGAAGACCATGTGGGAAAGTATTGAGAATTTTGAATATGATGACTATAGATTAATCTGTATAACGCGTAGAAATTCTGTATGTCATAATTTATTTGTGCGACATTCCCCTATAAACCATCTTGTAATATGTAAACCATTTTTAAAATAATTAATAATCATCTTTATTCCTTAAAAATTCACCATAATATTAATATTAATATATCTATCTATTACTATACATTCCGAAAATTTTTTCCTGTCTGGTATAACTGATTGATCTCTTGTGTGCATAATAATAATAATTTTTTTTGCTCCTGACAAACCTTCCGTCACAGTGGCCTTCGATCGTAATTTTGCGCCAATTTATTTAAAGTTAAGTAAAGTTTTTTGTATTATGTTCTTGCAACCCGGCGTTTCCCCGTCCTGTAAAGCCCAAGGAGATACGTCTGCCTTTGGTATGTGAAGTTGAAACGGATGAATATCGGCTTTCGAAAGATGTGTAAGGTTCTGGCTCTTATACCTAGCGTTCCCCGTCCTGTGAGACCTGAGGAGGTACGCCTGCCTCTGTGCTTGTGAAGTCGAACGGCTAAAATAGCAACAGACTTTTATTATGCTGTTATTTTAGCGATCTTACATTATCTGGAGAGGGTTTCGGGTTGAATTAAAGTTGTGATTAACAGAAATTTTATTAAAAAACTTTTACTAATTAATTCCTTTTTGTATTATTTCTTTGAAGATCAGCATCATGGTTTGTATCAATATAATTGATAGGCATTAACTGTTATTGAATTGATTCGCGACACTAACATATTACTGTCATTTTTACATGCAGGATTATGTCGAAGTTCTAAAAAAAATTTTATTAACAAAATCAACCAATTTTAATGCCACTACATTTTATAAAAAGGCTGATTTTCCATATAGTCTAAAGAAACAGGCGGAGGAAGCCTTATTTAATGCATTAAGATCTATTGAATCTGAAAATGGTCAAGGTGCTATAATTGCTCAAAGGCTACTTGCTCATTTTAACGATATTGTCAACTCTCCCATTGTACTACGCTTTTGGGATTCCGTTCGTGTTCGAGAAGAAAAAAATAGCACTCAAACTGCTCAAGTTATATTACAAGAAAAAGAAGTCAGTTATCTACATTCTAAATAAGTTTAGTAAAGTTATTATTATTAACTTGTTTTTTTGCAAACTATCTAGGAACAAAATGCTTGTCAAATAAGGACTAATTTGTTGGATGAGCGTATTCAAGTATTGGCAAGAAAAAGAGACAATTCGAATTTGAATGATTTTGAAGAAGGATCATCAACTCCACCAAATAAAGTTAGTATATATTTTAAATCTGAATGGCAAAAACATCTTTTAACCATTTGGTTACCTTTGAATCTATAGATCAGGGCCACAGATATAACAGAAGTGGGAAAAAATAACGATTCATCATCCAGTTTTGGAGTATTGTCTAGTGATAAAGAAAATTTTTCTGTTCCGCCTACAAATGTCTTCTCTGATCAAGAACTACATGAAAATGAAAATACTTACATAAAAGATATTCAGTCATCTCATGAGGTAGGAACGTTTATTTGTACAACTGTAATATGATGGTGTACTTAATCTGATCTATGTTTTACTTTACAGAATACAACAGATAAACTCTATGAAATAATTGAAAAAATAAATAAATCTGATTATCGCCTCTTTCAGTATCGGATCATTAATTTATCTGACCAAAATGCTTCGAGTCCTGTACAAAAAATATTAACAAAAGCTGATAAACAGTTATTAAAAACAACTTGGGACTCAGTATGTGTTTTCTGATTGTACACTGATACTTCAAATTTAAATTTGAGAGGTTCTAATATTATTATTTACTCTCCTTAGCTAGAGCCATCGAAAAAAAATCACAAGACAATCCGCCAGGAGAAATGGAATGCAGTCATAAAACCTCTCGTGAAAAAGTATCAAAAAAACTTAGTACCGAAATCTGTATTTGATGATTTTCCTTTGGATCTTGCAATTGAAGAAATTACCAAGAGACCATATACAGGAAAATTCAACTATAGAGAACATCACGACTCATTATGGGTTCAAGATATATACAAGCGATTGTATGTAATAAGAGTGTAATTACTGATGCATAACGTATTTAATGTATTCTAATAATATTTTTTTTTTGTAGTTTATTTATCTTTAAAGCGCCTGTTAATGTATTATTAGACCCTAATCAAGTAGAACTATCGTATAGAGAAAATTTCATTAACCCAATTGTTGCAAAATTGTTTGATGACATAATGGATATTATTCGAGTAAAAACGTGGGTTTGGCGTTTTTTATCATCATTTATTAGAATTTATTAATATCTAACAAATTTGTATATCTAAACTTACTTACAGTGGAGAGATCGAAAATATGTTAAATAAAACCCAACGAAATGAAACTCGCCAGTATGTGCAACGAGTTAGTATTGGATGCCATCAAGATGGTATTTTTGAAGTAAACGTCAATGCAATGACTTTTGAAATAGGCTTTCTAGAAGTGGTTGGTAATGCTCTTATTGTTGATATCACAAAGTTAAATGGTGATCTTGATAAAGTATTAAAAGGTAAGTTAGTCACCATGCCGTTAGTGATCTATTGTCATAATTTTATCTTATATGACATTATCTGATAGCAATGCAGATCTCGCTGTTCTATCAACGACGACACCATACCCAACGTGGTGCTACTGGAGATCAACTTGTTTGTCTAGAATCGTATGGGATAATCGTTTACCGTAAGCAATATGAATTTAATGTTTGATATTATATTATTAAGAGTATCTAATTATATTTTGATCAACTTTAGAGCGAACTTTTACTATTTATGTTATGCATAATACACGTGGAGGGCTCTACATTGTAGACAAATTAACGGAATTTTCTATTCCAAATTCCAAAGATCAATTGTATGTACTAGAAGAAGTAATCGAGAAAATATATATGTTAAAGGTATTAGATTTTGATACTGCTAGTTTAATGCATCTAATGCATTGTTTTTATATACTCATAACCTCATCTTTGAAATACAACAGAGCCGAATAATGGATTATTATTTAAAAATACAAAAAATAACACCTAATTGTGTCAAAACCCATGTCAATACAACAGAGTCACCAGTTGAAGCATCGCCCTCTAAGAATTCTAAAGTTACTGATAGATAACAGTATTAGATTCGCACATAAGTTGTAATTTGCTTATTTGATAATGTTTGCATTTGATCGGAGTAATAATTAAATAATGCATATGTTTGAAAGAAAAAATACTGTGCCATTGTCATACGACATTGTGATTCTTTCAAGTTTATTCAATAAGACCCAATTCTCGAAGATGCTCTGAAATAACTACATATGGGTCTTCGTAATACCAAACATACCTTAAAACAATCCAGTTCTCTTCACATAATTCTTTCTTGAGTTGATCCCGCTCTTGCTGTTTGATAAAATTTTTTGGATCCCTGTGAAAGAGCTCGATATATTTTTCATCTTGTTGTCCCTGTACTTCTATAGCAAAAACATAGTCATAATAAGGAATATCAAGTTGTAATCCAGTCGGATGTTCTGGTATTTTTAAAAAATCTGGTTTGCGATTTTCAGATTGTGGTCCAAGATACTTATAATTTTACGGCATAAATTTTCACGTTTATATTTTGAGCAATAGAGACACCATGCATCACAATTTTTATATTTGGTTGAAAGGCAGTTCCATTCCTATTATATGCAACTTGTTTGGCATCTTCAAGAGTATACATTCATAACTACATTTATATACTTGAAAAAGCAGATCTCTGAAGATCAAGGTTAGGGAAGATTCTCAAAGCGAGAAGTATTGGTATGATAACTGATGGTTATTTTAATCAAGTGTAAAACAATATTTATTAAAAAGTAAATAAATACATATATTAAAAACATATATTATTAATTTTTTGTTTTGCCAGCGCCTGCGTTTTTTGTGAAGCCAGATCCTCTAGAATCTTTGAATGCCAATTGAAATCGCACCCCTTCTGCTGTATGTTCCTCTGGTTGTCCTGGATTTTCAATGACATTTCTGAGAGATATTTTTTCGTTACTTGTCTTTAAATACGCGCCAATTTCCATTTTTTGAACTGATCTATAATTATACAGAATGGTGAAAATAAGATATATATGGAAAACAAAAAATCGTTTCATTATAGAACAATTAGAGAAATCATGTAACTTACAACGTAGTAGATTCACCTTGTTCTTTTTTAAGCGTTTCTTCGTCTATTTTATTATCTCCCCCGTCATGAACAGCGAGGTAAATTTCATTCAGCCCCACTATGTAAAAATATCGTTTTTTTATCTTTTGAAAAAGTACAATATGTGCATAAGGCCAATAGGATAATTTATTTACCAATTTTAACTGTAAGATTTCCTTTCATTCCTGCCATTGTAATTTTTTTTTTTCGATGAAAAATATAAGTAATATTATTATAACCCACCTCATAAATTCGGTTTATTTATACATTTCATTTGTTACCTGAAAACCTGTTAGAAGAAAAACATTAGTAATTATGTTACCTGATCATTTCTCGGATCTTTCTTCGTAAGGCAGGTCTATTAAGTCATGGGTGTCAAGAACTAAATATATTTCGCCTTTTATGGGGAAATTAAACCTTCCAGTTTGGCGATCGCTTTTGTAGAATAAAAAATAAGACAGATTTTGGCGATCTTGGATCTCAAGTTCTGTAACATATGAATTTTGATATTATTACTGATAAAGAACAATAAAATTTCCTCAATCATATTCTTTTTGAGTCTCATTTGTATTTTTTCTTATCGGAAAAGCTATCTACAGTAAGGAAAAGGCTTTATTATTAACATTATATATGCAATGATAGAAAATAATTTTAGCAGTATCACAAAAAAATCATTGTGAAATGAACAGATATTATTATTATATATATATTTTTTTCATATATCGAATATTACGTTTTAGTCTAATCCATATACATTACTTTTTTTTTGTGTTTTCATGCGCCATTGAGCTAATTTGGCTATTATTAGAAGTTTATAGAACATGTAAGAGGTCAGTTGATATATTTGTGTGATCATATGCAGGTATATCAAAATTGGATTAGCTACACATGGTTTAGATTATTGTTAAAAATTATGCATATTAATATATTTTTTATCAAAGGGATGAAATAATATTTTTTTATACTACTTTTTTCTAAAAATCGAATTAGCGGTAGTTAAAGATGATTTACTATATTTTTAGCGTGATTCTAGCTCGACTCTAGCACAAGTATGATGTTTTACATATAATTATATAGAAAAAATCTAGCGTGATTCTAGCTCGAGTCTAGCTTGATTCTAGCATGATTCAACCATATTAGTCGCAGGACATTGCAGATCAAGTGTCATTTAATATAAACGTTACATGAATAAAATTATTATCATCCACTTCAAAAAAAAAAATCTCCATTCTTCATGTAGCAAGCGATTTTCAACCATAATAAATTTTTTAGAGCCAGACTGGAGCTTTTAATAACAGTTAAAAGAAAAGACTAGCTTAAATATTGGTTATTCTACACCAGGTTGAAAGCATTTCTTTTCTTCACACTTATTTTAAGATTATCGCTCAACTAGTATGCAGACTAAAGCAAATTCAGCAGCAACAGTTGTGCCAAAGTGTTCCCT